AAAAGTCAAACACTTTCACTGTATTTTCTTTTACTGTATAATCTCTGTCAGAAGTGTTGGGTCCGGTTTGGCCCGGGCTGTCAAAACCAATTTTAAACACACAAATGTTTCATCAAATGTGTTTACATCTATGGACTACCATTATACCTACCTATAAACCACTTTATAGTGTCTCAGTTCGCTGTATTTAAAGAAAACAAGGTGCTCAAAGTGAAGCCCTCTTCCCTCTACATTCTCAACATGGTCTCCATCAGAAGTGTGTGGCATGTGTTGGGTCCGACTTGGTCCCGGCTGTCAAAACTGGTCCGTTAAAGTCAAACACTTTTACTGTATTTTCTTAAGAAAATCTCTGTTAGAAGTGTTGGGTCCGACTTGGCCCGGGCTGTCAAAACTGGTCCGTTAAAGTCAAACACTTTTACTCTATTTTCTTAAGAAAATCTCTGTTAGAAGTGTTGGGTCCGACTTGGTCCCGGCTGTCAAAACTGGTCCGTTCAAGTCAAACACGTTTACTCTATTTTCTTAAGAAAATCTCTGTCAGAAGTGTTGGGTCCGACTTGGCCCGGGCTGTCAAAATCAACTTAAACCTCACAGATGTATATTCAAATGTATTCACATCTTAAAACGAGTTTAATATCTACCTATATACCACTTTATAGTATCTAAGTACATCGTATGTAAAGAAAACTGGTCCGTTAAAGTCAAACACTTTTACCGTATTTTTTTAAGAAAATCTCTGTCAGAAGTGTTTGGTCCGACTTGGCCCGGGCTGTCAAAATCAACTTAAACCTCACAGATGTATATTCAAATGTATTCACATCTATAAGCGAGTATAATATCTACCTATATACCACTTTAAAGTGTCTCAGTTCGCTGTATTTAAAGAAAACAAGATGCTCAAAGTGAAGCCCTTTCCCATCTACATTCTCAACGTAGTCTCTATCTGAAGTGTTTGGCTTGTGTTGGGTCCGACTTGGCCCGGGCTGTCAAAATCAAGTTTAAACTCACAGATGTATCATCAAATGTGTTTATATCTATACCTTGTTTTCTTTAAATACGATGTACTGTGACGGGAACATAAACATTATAATGATAATGATGATGATAGTTGTTTATGATGAGGATGATCACCATATTTCAACGTCTATGGTGTGATTAACAAGAAGGTCTTTCATGATTGAATTTAATCGTGCAAAATTGCACATATTTATTTATCTGAAGATCCTCTTGTGAAGCATGTCAAAACTGAAAACAAGTCATTCAATGGATTTTCCTAAACGACCTATTGATGCAGTACTGAATATCAATGTTAATGTTTATTTTGTTGATGGTGCTGGACGTTACAGAAATGAGTGTCAATCAAGCGAAGTGCCATCTCAAATCGACCCAGAACCGGTCACTTGCAACTCGAAAACGTCAATGTGTGATTTTGTGTCAAAGTTGATGTCCAGCTTGACACAAACACAGTATCTCTGGCATGGTTCGATCCTCTTGTTACCGTAATGTGTGGTTTTGACTCCGAGACCATCAATGGTACGACCCCGAATATGCAGAGGGCGTCGTGGGAAATGATAATTACATATAAAATTCTTTGGAATACGCCAACATACAGAGTCAGACGTATCCAAGCGAACAAACCTGATATGGTCCTTTTTAGATAAATCCAATGAACCACTGTATGACCGATTTATCTGTTTCTTTTGAAATTAATGTGTTATAGGAGAAACAAGGCAAAGGCAGTATGAGGACAGTACTAACGAAATGTCAAGCTAGCTTCCCAAGTTGTTATACTCGCCATTCATGACAAGAAACATCCCGTTTCCTGACGCTTAAAATTGTGTTTATATTAATTAAAATGCACACATTTCCAAATATTCGAAATATTCCAGTGTCCATTCCGTCCACTATCCTTGAAGGATAATGATGACGTAGACGACAAAAACGACAACGACAACAACGATGTGCTGGATTGACTTTCAGAAAGCATATGATTCTGTCTGTTTGGGAATGTTTGGACATGTTGTAGAAATTTACGTCAGTGTCCACATCGTCCACTATCATGGAAGGTGTATCTTGCCACATATGTTAGCGGGTAGAGACACAAAACCAAATAAAGACATGACAGATATGTATGCATACAATTTGGAATAATATGGACAATTTACAATCCTAGACACATTCCACATTAAGCAATGTTAGACCATGTTTTCACTGCTGTTTTATGTATGAGAACACAAGAAAGTACGTATTTGTCAGTCATTCAAATCTCGGGTTCAGCAAAACTTTTGGTATCTATTTTAGTAAAAATCGTTAGGAGTTTTGCGATCAATTGTAGGTGCTTAAAATGCACTTTAATGAATCCTTGGAGTTTGTAACCTTGAGAAACGTTGTAATGTTATTAATACAAAAATCAGTAAAAGGTAAAGCATATATTTTGTGACCGGAACTAGCATGTTCGAGGTAAAGCTTACGTTTTGTGTACCATCAAAAGCATGACATTGATGACATTTCTTCAAAACATGACAAAATCCCTATCATCCACAACATGAGAGATATTGACCACGAATGTGTGTACCAAACTCTCGAACCTATTCTCCGATCACGACCGCCTCACCATAAAAATACATATAGATTTGTGAACACAAATAATTATTTATTCAAACACCTCTTCCTTTAAAAAAACATATATATTAACACACACAAATGGTGTTTACAAACAATAGTTGATTTTATGCTTCCAAACAAAGCACACTCAAGCTATTGTTGAATTTTTAAATATAGCCAAGGTAAATGTATCCACAATCATATTTAATCACAAATATCGTTCTGTTCTATATAAATGTAACAAGTGAACTAACCATTTCAGTGGATCTCAACATGGACAAAACTGTTGGAGATGTTCAATGAGTGAATGTTTATTTAATGAAGTAAAAACGTAGATTCTCTCTTTGGGTAAATACATGTAGCTGTACATCTTATAGATGTTCCAAGAGAAAATAATATAATATCTACCTATATACCACTTGATAGTGTCTCAGATCGCGATATGTAAAGAAAACTTGGTGCTCAAAGTGAAGCCCTTTTCCCTCTACATTGATGATACATCTGTGAGGTTAAAGTTGATTTTGCCAGCCCGGGCCAAGTCGGACCCAACACAAGCCAAACAGTTTTGATAGAGACTATGTTTAGAATGTAGAGGGGGAAGGGCTTGACTTTGAGCACCTTGTTTTCTTTAAATACGATGTACTGTGACATTATAAAGTGGTATATAGGTAGATAAAATACTAAGCTACAGATGTAAACTCATTTGATGATACATCTGTGTGTTTAAAGTTGTTTTGACAGCCCGGGCCAGCCAACACAAGCCAAACACTTCTGATAAGAGACTATATTGAGAATGTAGAGGAAAAATGGCTTCACTTTGAGCACCTTGTTTTCTTTAAATACCGCGATCTGAGACACTATAAAGTGGTATATAGGTAGATAAAATACTAATTAATAGATGTGAACCCATTTCATGTTACATCTGTGAGGTTTAATTTGATTTTGATAGCTCGGGCCAAGTCGGACCCAACACTTCTGACAGAGATTTTCTTAAGAAAACACAGTAAAAGTGTTTGACTTTAACGGTTCAGTTTTCTTTAAATGTGATACACTATGGTATTATAAAGTGGTATATAGGTAGATATAACACTGATCTATAGATGTAAATACATTTGATGATACATCTGTGAGGTTAAAGTTGATTTTGACAGCCCGGGTCAAGTCGAACCGAGCACAAGCCAAACACTTCTGATAGAGACTATGTTGAGAATGTAGAGGGAAAAGGGCTTCACGTTGAGCACCTTGTTTTCTTTAAAAACAGCGATCTGAGACACTATAAAGAGATATTCAGGTAGATATAATACTAATATATAGGTGTGAATCCATTTCATGTTACATCTGTGAGGTTTAAGTTGATTTTGACAGCCTGGGCGAAGTCGGACCGAACACTTGTGAGACTGTTGAGAATATGGGGAGAAGAGGTCTATTTTAACCAACCTGTCTGCTTTATACACGATGAACAGTGACATTATTAAGTGGTATTTACATAGATATAGTACTATCCTATAAATATAAACGCTATGCCGACAGATGAACATTTGTATCTCGATAGCTAGAAGTATTTGATACGTTTCAAATCTTATTTCGTTTAACGATTGCTCTTTTACATGTTACCTAGTCCAGCGACGCTTACACACAGCTCCACTTTCTGGTTTTCAAGCGATTTACTCCGAAATACCTAATTATGTTGCACATTTTTGGTTGGTGATTGTTCAGTAATGTCATGTGTGTATGTTGCATCAATAATATGTAGGTATGATCGACGAGAATGAAGTAATTAGCCAATAACACTTTGGCCCGTCTTGGCCCGGCCCGGCCCGACTTTTAGGCAATGCCTTCTTTACAGACCGAAATCATACAGCTGGAATAGTCCTGAGTACGGCGTTAAATAACAAACAAATAATGAAAAAAACGTGACTATTGTTACACCAGTGAAATACTTTAATACACTGTCCTTTTAAGTATGAAATCAGTAAAAGTTTATATAAAAATAATTGTCATTAAACGTAAAATAATTCTAGTATTCTAACCGGCACGTTGTACAATGTCCAATTCAACCATGTGCCCTATTGCAACCAGGAAATGTCGAAATGTGCTCATCAAGAGTAATTGAGACTCTATTTTTATAGTTTTGTTTATTATCTTGACGAAATTTTAAGTTGTTCATGAATGCACGCGCACGAAGTTAGTCGTCGTAGTAATTCGTTGTAAATGATCATTGCGAAAGAGAAGAATAAATAGTTTATGGATGTGTCACATGTGAATAGATGTGATACCTAAATAAATGTGAACAAAATATCACCTCAATAGTCTATTGGCTTACGAAGTCACACGACATACATTCTAATAATTAGAAATAAATAATAAGTATACAGTTCACTCTGCTTTGTTCGCAGACCGAGTACCTTTCTTTCAATATCTGATTTCAAGAACGGAGTTCGGCGTTCAGCGGATTGGCTGGGTCCAACGTCTCTGGATAGGAAAACAACACTTGGGTTGAAGTCAGTGAAGAACAACCCCTTTGCGAGTGCCATAGCACAGATGGACCCAAAGACCTGTTCATATGCTCCTAATTCAAACATTCAACTCGCTTCATCTAAAACGGACTTCAGACTCGGGGACACCATTTCTGTTGAAATCCAACTTTTCGACGCGTACAAGCGGAGGAAAAACAAGGGAGGTGATAACGTGAGACTATGGATGAGTGAAACGTTAAAAGATGCGCGCGCAGCAGGCGTTGTCACTGACAACAAGGACGGTACCTATACAGGAACTCTCAAGGCTCTCTGGACCGGAAGTCCAAAAATCGAAGCCGCCATAGCTAGTCGGAAAGAAAACGTGGATATCTTCTATCGGGTATATCACGATTACTACACACTAAGAAACTTATCAGCGATGTTCGAGAGCGATGGCGTCCAGGAGGAAACGTTGTGCCTACCTATACCAAACATCCGGGGCTTTGAGAACGTCTGTAACTTGACAGCCGAGAATTACGGACTCCCGTGGTATTGTGGGAAACCATCACACCGGAAGCTGTTGTGTCACGACTTCACGGGGTTACGTGAGCCGGATAAACAGCCATCTCCATTTACTCCACACGAGGCAAAATTCTTCGAAAGGTACAGCTATTTATCAATTTCCTTATTCATATTGTTTAATTCAGATATTATTATTAACGGTCCATTTCTCAAACTGCAATGTCGACATGCTAGTTATCTGTAAATTTTCTCTATTATGATAAGTTCAACATACTGATTGTCTGGGGGCACGGGTGGCCCAGTCGTCTAAGGCGCCGCGATTCGCTGTGCAAAGTTGCGTCCCTTGGGCACGCCAGAAACCTATGTTATATTTTGGTAAATGTCTGAGATCTGCACCACTTCGGGCTTTCCTCCCACATTAAAACTTTTAAAAGTGGCGTTAAACCCAACTCACTCACCCACTGATTGTCTTGTTATCATGATTATTGCGTAATACTGGTTATATGTAAAAACCCTGAGTATCTCGTCATGGTGATTATTTTCCACATAATAATTATCTCCTAATGCTGATTATTTCAACGTACTGGTTATCTCGATAGGATGTTTATGTCAACATAATGGTTATCTCAATATTATTTTTATTTCGAAAACCCTAAAACTCGATATGATGTTTTGATAATGGTTACCTCGATATTATATATATTTCAACATACTCGATATGATGTGCATAATGGTTATCTTGATATATTTATTTCAACATACTGTTTATCTCGATATGATGTTTATGTCAACATAATGGTTTTCTCGTTATTATATACATTTCAACGTACTGGTTATCTCTATATGATGTTTATGTCAACATAATGGGTATCTCGATATTTTTTTTTTTTCGAAACCCTAAATCTCGATATGATGTTTTGATAATGGTTACCTCGATATTATATATATTTCAACATACTGGTTATCTCGATATGATGTTTACTTGACATGTGGTTATCTCGATATGATGTTTACGTCAACATACTAGTTATCTCGATATTATATTTTTTATAACATACTGGTTATCTCGACATGTTTATTTCGAGATGATGGTTATGGCAACGTTTATATCTCTTATTAGCCTAACAATTCAATAAATCTGTACAAAGAATATATACTTTTATATCCCACAAATATACATATGGTTTTTCTTCATTATCTTCAAATACTGTCAGATCTACCTCGTAATCAACATCAATATATATTATTTACATTAAATGTTTTTAAAACAAATATAACCCACACATATTATTTTTCAGACACCTGCTACATCAAAAGCTCCCCACATCTGTTGCGATTAAAGTGACGTCAGGTATGTCACAAGTTATGAAGGATGGACAAATTATCACACAATATTACAGCTGTGTCATGTGAAATGTGTCTAGTAATAATGAAGACTGGGCAAGTCAAACCAGTGGGACACAATCAAGCACTGAATAAGTCATGCGTAATTTCTTTCCCCTACGGGTACACGAGAGACACAGTCGTCTGTAGATTCGCCATAATTCTGTTATATTTTGGTGGACGTCTGAGACCTGCATCACTTCGGGCTTTCCTCCAACATCAAGCTGACACGCCGTGATATAACTGGAATACTGTTCAAAGCAGCGTTAAAACTCAACTCACTCACTGTTGTAGGAGAGGTTCATATGGTTCACAATTAAGTATCTGTTTCATATTCATTTCAAACAGAAAAAGGCAATGGTTGCAGTTGACTAAAAGAGTCGATCAAGTGAAAAGCCAATAATTTTACCCGACATTTGGATATTTTAGTTATACTCGGTTCTGAGTGGTCAATATAAGCCATAACCTCGCATTGCTTTATTGTTGAGCAAAATACGATATGTCGTCATCCCTTGTTCATGACGACACAAACTGATTGCATTGATTACATCGTCATCTGAACCAAAGGCTTATTTCATTGAAGTCCCGGTAGGGCCCTGAGCTAACCAGCCTGTGCCAGGATCACCCAAACCCTCTTTGCTGCATTTTTTAAATTTTAATCTGTAAATAATAATAATAATAATAATAATAATACGGACCAATAATACTTACAGATATTGTGTCACCATACTGCGCATCCAATGACATTATTTACATGGAGCAGAAAGGAGCCAGAAAGGGATGTTGGGGTTGTAAGGATCAACTACTAGTTCAGAAAATGATCCTTGAAGAGGCTAAAACTTACCACCGTAACCTCTCAGTGTCTTGGATAGATTACAGATAAGCTTCTGCTTCTGTACCTCACCACTGGATTTTGAGGTCACTGGAATGTATTGACTTCCCCGAGCGACTACTTGTTTTACGCAGGTCTTTAATGAATTGCTGGTCAACTCAACTTTAGATGTATTTGCAGCGGCAGGTGGTGACTTCGGAACCCATTTCTATGAGAAGAGGAATATTTCAGGTCGATTCTTTTAGCCCTTTGCTTTTCTGTTTGTCACTAAATCCTTTAAGCTTTTTGCTCAGCAAAGAGGAAGGTTATCACCCGGGACCTCCTAAGCACAGATACCCATCACCCCTTACTCACCTTCTTTACATGGATGACCTTGAACTTATTGCCAATGGAGGATCTACATTCAAAAAGCAGATTCTGCTTGTTGAGTCCTTTTCTAATGATATCGGCACGTCCTTTGGACTCGACAAATGCAACATTCTTCATTTGAAACGTGGCAAGGTAGAAGATGGAGTTTACTAGGAGAAGGAGTTATTGACCATAGGTCAGACCTATACGTACTTAGGGATGCAGATTAGGGACAAACTCCAGTTCAGAGTTCAGAGCTGAACGCTCGCAATAAAGTCATAACCACAAATAATTATGCTGTGTCCGTCGTTTCGTATTCTTTTGGTGGAAATTCAGGGTATTGACACCCTCACACGAAGAATAATGTCAGACAATAGATCCCACCACCCTCGCTCTTCCCTCAATCGCTTATATTTACCAATCATTATGGGAGGACGTGGTTTGATTAACGTTTAGGCTCTTCATGCTAGAATTGTTTTGTCCACTTTTGCACACATTTATTTGTCTGATGATCCTCTTATGAAACATGTCAAGACTCATGATGAAAACAAGACATTCCACATTTTTGTAAAACGAGCCAAGGTTGTGGGACATAATCTCAATGTCGGTGTTGATTTTGTTGATGGTTCTGTACTGCTGGACGGTACAGAAATGAGTGTCAACCAAGCGAAATGCATATCAAGTCGGCCCAGACTCAGTTTTAAAGGCTTTCTGAACGACCACTGCATCGAGTTTATGTGCAGTGTGTTGAGACGATCAGCAATCCCGCACAGTCCTTCGCTTGGATGAAGTCGTCTGGTCTGAAAAGTGAAACTGAAGGCTTTCTCTTTGCTGCTCAGGACCAGTCACTTTCCACCCGAAACCGTCAATGTGTGATTTTGCATCAGAATGCGAATATCAAATGTAGATTATGTAATGAATTTAATGAGACTGTCCAACACATTGTCAGTGGATGCCCAGCTTTGGCACAAACACAGTATCTCAAACGACATGATGGTGTAGCTCGATCATTTTATTACCATCTCCGCCATGGTACGACGTTAATATGTAAGGGCGTCATGGAAATGATCAATACAAAATTCTTTGGAATAGGCCCATTTACAGCCTCAGATGTATCCAGGCCAACAAACCTGATCTTGTCCGTTTTGATAAATCATTTATATCATTGAATTTTCTGTCCCCATTGACACTTATGTGCTTGACAAGATTGAGGAAAAACATGGCAAATATGCGGATCGCGCTTTCGAAATGTCACGCATGCTTCCCAAGTACTAAGTTGTCCGACTCTCCATTGTTCTCGGTGCCTTAGGTTTGGTACCTCCCAATCTGTTGACTGACATTGGGAGAGTACCCGGGTTTGCTACCAGGAATACAGCCCTTCTGACAATCTGGGTAATGCAGAAGGCAGCAGTCTTGGGGAGTCTTCACATTGTCCGAAAAGATCTGGGTGGGGTTCACTTGGCAGCGCTTCCTTGGAGAAGTCCCATTCACTGTCTGGGCTGCGTGTAGAGGGGGCAGGGGCCCTGAGCTGATGATGAGCCTAACCAGCCTGACTGTGACAGGATCACCCAAACCCTCTTGGCTGCATTTATTATTTAATCTGTAAATAATAATAATAAAATAATCATCATCATCATCATCATCATCATCATCATCATCTGGCATCGGGATTTGAGAAACGTTCTACGTTCCCAATATGCTGAATTAGGGTCGTCGTGTTTCTGCAGACAAATAAATTCATTTGGCACTATATGATAAACTGGGCATTGTACTCATACCTTCTTTCTATAGCTGCTTCCCTTGGGTGAAAAAACATCGTAAAGATCATCTATTTTAAGAATGCCATTATGATGGAGATTATTACCCTCCTGTTGCCGTACAGTAAATCTCATATATTTGGAATAGGAAATATACTGGACCGCAAAAGAAACGTCACCCCAAGTAACATTGCATGAAAAGTTGTCATTTAAATATCTGGGTAATTTTTGTCAAAGTTTCTAAAATTTAACATCAACTTGTCCGGAAAAAATGAAATTTGATGATAAAAAAACAAAGCAGACGACAATAAAACTGATCGCCCAAACGCATCACGGCAACGGCCATGGTAACCCGTGCCCATGCGCTCCCCCATTTCTTGCCCTATAAAAATCCACCCAGATCTGATAACATTCATTCGTTAATGAATTGCTACCACATGCCAAGATTGACAAGAAATCCCAGCGACTCCCAGCCCTTGGACGATTGCAAGCTGGGCAAACCGCCTGGAAAGTAGCCAATTTTATTTTAAGTCCACGTAAGGACCACATATAGGCTCCAGCAACGGTAGCGGACCACCAACACGACAGATGACCGACCACATAGTGGAAGACCAAGAGTCACCACCCGATCGTCAGATTGTGCGACAGCATCTTCAACATCGCTTTGTTACTGCTGTGGAAACTGCTCGACAGACCATGGGGACACACCAGCGACACATTAATGCGGACACCGTGCGTTGACGACTGACGAGCAGACACTGCCACTATCATAGGCCTTACGGAGGACCCATTCTGACACCACGTCATCGCCGGGACCGCCTTCAGTGGGCAACACAGCACCAGCATTGGCGCCACCAGCAGTGGAGAAGAGTCCTCTTCTCAGACGAGAGCCGTTACTGTATCTCAACAGCAGATGGCAAAGATAGAGTCTGGCGACGCCGTGGGAAACGTTTTTCGGATGTTTGTGTTATTGAGAGAGACTCGTGGGGTGGTCCGATCATCATGGTGTGGGGTGGAATTGGTCTTGCACAGAGGGTCGGCCCTGTGGTCTTCCAGAAGACTGGTCAAAGGAGAAGCAATGGTGTCACAGTAGCTCGGTACAAGTCTTGAGACCACACGCCATATCTCATTTGGCACGTCGCTGCAACAACGAGTTTCAGCATCATAACGCCCGTGCCCAGACTGCGAGAGCAATAAGTGACTTCCTCCAGCAGAATGACATCAGAACCATGCCATGGCCTGCTCTCAGTCCCGATTTAAATCCCATTGAGCACCTGTTGGACAAAATTCAAAGACGGCTGAATGACGTCCGACCAAGGCTGACAACTGCAGCTGAACTGCGTCAGGCGTTCCTCAGAGTGTGGGCTCAAGTGCCTATGGCCTTCATCAACCGCCTCATCCATTCCATGTATCGACGTTGCACGGCACATGGCGGACACACGAGATACTGACTTGTGATGCCATTTTCTCGGAGACTAGTGTTGTGTTTCACTTTAAGAACATTTGACACTTTAATTTCAACCTTGATGATCAGTTTTGCTAAGTGTCATCTTTTTAATATGTTCTAAAAGAATGTTTACAGTGTTTGGACAAATAAGGTTTCTAATATATCTATCCATGGTGACGGTTTTTTTGCGGTTCAATATGTATATGATGCTCGTCAATGGCTTGCATTATACAATTTATATTCCTAACATATGATACTTACGGTATGGAAACGCACTCTGCTAATAAATGTTATAGTTATTGCCAACAGTGTGAAGAAGCTACATTGTGACGTCATCGGTATTGTGTCGCCAGTAGAATGTACGCTACGCATGAGGACTTTATCACGCCAAGAATGGTGTATTCATTATGTCAGTAAAGTTTGCATGTATTTTTATTAACTCGCGTATCTTGAAAGTGAAAACTATGTAGTTCATACGCCAATGTTCTCTGTTTGCAGATCAAGACACAGTTCCTTTGCCAAGTGTCCCCTGTAACAAAACACCCTTGAGGAAAAGCTGGGAGGCATCAACACCTATTGGCTTCTTCTACAAGAATTCCTGGAAGTCTCTAACTTGTAAAAACACGATTCCACTTGATTCGAACAAGGAATGTCTGAAAAACCGGAGAATTTGGATCCATGGAGATTCCTCTTCAAGAGGTTGGTTCAAGATTTTAACTGAACGTTTAGGCTTGACACTTGTTACAGAGGCATGGCACCATTCTAAATGGCACAAACCGGCAGTAACAATGGACACGCTGCGGAACATCACGCTATTGTTGGTGCCACATGAGTACCCATTTTATCATGGGTATACGTTCAACAAATTGGCTTATAACAGAGCAACGCATGCCTATCTGGATGATCTTCCAAATAATTCTCGGGATATATTTCTCATTCATATATACCTTCATTTTAACCCCTTCCCTCCAGAGGTTTTTAGAACTCATATGAAAAGAATTGCACGATCTGTCAAATCGTTAGTTGTTCGTGCCCCAGGGGTTAAAGTGGCTATTCGAGGAACTCATGCTTTCAAGGGTAGGGGCAAGATAGGGTTTTTGGACGACTGTTGGATGTTTGTATACGATACGATCCAGCGGGACGCATTTAAAGGGCTGGAGAACAATGTGCTTTTCTTAAATAATATAGATTTGACAGTGGCCACAGACAACGACGACCAGCATCCTAACTCGTTAGCAGTGGATTCCCTCATCAATCATTTCCTGGGATCCGTGTGTGAAGGATGAGGGATGAGAAAGATGGGTGTGGAGTGGCGTCTGTGCGTTTTGCGGAGAGTGATATATGTATATATGCGTTTAGTGTGCAAGTGTGTGTCTCTATGGTTGTGTTTTGGTGTGCATCTGTTCCTGAACCAACATTTATAGGTAAGAGATTTAAACGTTTACATGGGGACACGGGTGGCCCAGTCGTCCAAGGCGCCGCGATTCGCTGTGCAGAGTTGCGTCCCTTGGGCACGCCAGAAACCCATGATTGTAGGTTCGAATCCCGGTTCGCCCTGATTATGTTTCTAGGTTTGTCAGCACCATACCCGTGCCCTTAGGTTTCACTAAAGACGTTATAATTTGTCTTGATTGTAATTTGCTTGGCTATTTATATCTTAAGTGTGTGCATATACCATAGCTCTGCTGGTTTTCTTTGGAAGGCCGTGTTTGCTAAAACATTTTTCCCCGTATATACGGGAACTGATTAGGGTTGTTTTTCGAATTAAATATTGTATGCCTCTAAAATGTGTTTGTTAGTATTGCTGACGTACAGACTCTGCATTCAGCTGTTTGGGCTTGAAGCATCCCTCAGACGTCGTTACCAATAATAAGTCGCAATCCATAAATGTTCAGTTTTAGCCTTTGCTCTACTATCTTCCGCTGCTCCTTATTTATTAGCTCCTGTGACCCCTGATCTTCCAGCACACGTGACCCATGATCTTCCAGCTCCAGTGACCCCTGATCTACGAGCTCCTATAAACCCCTGATCTTCCAGCTCCCGTGACCCCTGATCTTCCACCTCCAGTTACCCCTGATCTACCAGCTCCTATTAACTCCTGAACTACCAGCTCCTATAAACTCCTGATCTTCCAGCTCCCGTAACCTCTTGATCTTCCAGCTCCCGTGACCCCTGATCTACGAGCTCCTATAAACTCCTGATCTACGAGCTCCTATAAACTCCTGATCTACCAGCTCCCGTGACCCCTGATCTACCAGCTCCTATAAACTCCTGATCTCCCAGATCCTATAAACTCCTGATCTACCAGCTCCTATAAACTCCTGAACTACCAGCTCCTACAAACTCCTGAACTACCAGCTCCTAAAAAACTCCTGATCTACCAGATCCTATAAACTCCTGATCTACCAGCTCCTATAAACTCCTGAACTACCAGCTCCTATAAATTCCTGATCTACGAGCTCCTATTAACTCCTGAACTACCAGCTCCTATAAACTCCTGAACTACCAGCTCCTATCAACTCCTGATCAACCAGCTCCTATACACTCCTGATCTACCAGCTCCTATAAACTCCTGATCTACCAGCTCCTATAAACTCCTGATCTACCAGCTCCTATAAACTCCTGATCTACCAGATCCTATAAACTCCTGAACTACCAGCTCCTATAAACTCCTGAACTACCAGCTCCTATAAACTCCTGAACTACCAGCTCCTATAAACTCCTGATCAACCAGCTCCTATAAACTCCTGATCTACCAGCTCCTATTAACTCCTAACCTACCAGCTCCTATAAACTCCTGATCTCCAAGATCCTATAAACTCCTGAACTACCAGCTCCTATAAACTCCTGATCTATCAGCTCCTATAAATTCCTGAACTACCAGCTCCTATAAACTCCTGATCTACCAGCTCCTAGAAACTCCTGAACTACCAGCTCCTATAAACTCCTGATCTACCAACTCCTAGAAACTCCTGAACTACCAGCTCCTATAAACTCCTGATCTACCAGCTCCTATAAACTCCTGATCTACCAGCTCCTATAAACTCCTGATCTACCAGATCCTATAAACTCCTGAACTACCAGCTCATATAAACTCATGAAGAACCAGCTCCTATAAACTCCTGATCTACTAGCTCAACAGATCAACATCGTTAACATGTTGTCGTGTATATCTTACATAACACTCTTCTGCACTGCCAACACTACCAGACTGTGTTTGGAGATATTTTTATGTATTTATTACAGGTTAAATCTTGTAAACTTACACTATAAAAAAGTACTTGAATCTGTACTTTAATGACAAGGGGTTACCTAAATATAACGTGTTACGTTTAACCACTTTCTTAAATGACATTTTGCGTTCATAGCTTTGGGCCATGGGAGCCGTGCTGATTTACATTTGTCAGAGGGTACACAAAGTACGTGGCTGAGTGGGTTGGATCACTGACTTTGTGTGCTGGTGATTAGGTGCCACACCCTGGGATCGAATCCCGGCAGAGACTCAACCCAATAAAGAACTAGAATCTGTACTTTACGTAGAGGGGAATGTCCGAGTGACTCTCCATTCCTTAAATATAATGGAGCAGAGGCCCATTATTTTTAAGGAATGGAGAGTTACGAGGATATTCCCCTACTTAAAACTCATCCCTACTTTTACACTTTGACAAAATATTCTGTAGTTGAAAATATTTGAAAAATAAACCAGAACTCTTTGTTGTCTGATTTATACTGCGTGAGTCGACCTTGCGTGATCCACGAGGAATGCGTTCTTTGCCGCTGTTGCACGTGAACACCACAAGTGGTCCCCACACTGTGACAACATCAAGCTAAACGGTCTGGTGAAACACAAGAAGAAGCTACAACTCGATATCTCTGCGAGGAGAATGTGAATCAGAGGTACACGAATGACGTAGCATGACCGGCTGCCAAAGAGGGCATTTCGCTACCTCCATGGCAATGCGGCAGGTGCCAAGGGTGCCTGCCAGTATATGCCCTTGGCACAAGGGCACGGGATGGCACTTTCCAGTGCATCTATTGCAACACTGTCCTGAAGGACACCTACGTGAGGCGTTTAACGCACACAAGTAAGTGTCCTGTCAGGAGACAGGTGTCAAGCCACCCGTGCCTGTGCACCACTGCGTGTACGACTGTACGTGTATGTGAAGAAGTGATCTTCCTCAAAACGGCCCTTTTCAGGGCCACCCATCTCTCCCGAAAGAATGCTTTCATCCTTTGCTTTGACGACCCTCAAACCCAAACAATGAACCAACCTCCTCCTCCTCCCTCCCTTCACCACCACCCTACCTCCCTCCAACACGTCTATTTTTAGAACAACAAAAGAACAACAATGTCGATCTTGTTCACCTTTTACGACCGCTTCTCTGGGTTTTTTCCCCTACCTCCCCGGAAACGAATGCGACGCCCTTAGAGGTGCGCACGCCACCGGAAAGGGATGCGACGCCATCTTGGATGCGCGCGCCACCGGACACGGATGCGACGCCATCTTGGATGTGCGCGCCACCGGAAACGGAAGTGACGCCATCTTGGATGCATACGCCACCGGAAACGGATGTGGCGCCATCTTCGATGCGCAGGCCACCGGAAACGGATGTGGCGCCATCTTGGATGCGCACGCCACCGGAAACGGATGTGACGCCATCTCGGATGCGAACGCATGACCCACCAAGCCCTGCGCGCATGTGCACCGGAAGTGACGTCATCAGAGGTCACGTGACCCTCTCGACCAATCAGAAGCCAGGAGCGTTTCCAGGCCGCTGGCCTCAATTTCTTTCATACGCTCCTAAATGTTCGGCCGTAGGTAAATGGACAAAAATGCTGACAAATACTGACAAAAAATAGCATTGATGCCAATGGCTCTAAACATGATGCAGACGCCAGTGACGCACAGCCCGTCCCTGGGGTTGCCTAGCCCACCTCAATCTTTACCGCCTATGGTAAGCTGTTAGGGCCAAGCCCTTCACAGGACACCTTGCTTTATTGATGCATAGAGCCAGTTTTAGCGACAGACATTGAAATTCGCATTACCATTATTGTACTGAATTCTCCATTGATAACAGAAGCAGTTTTGGATCGATGGCGTATTGCAATTACCGGGTAATGAAATGTTGGTGTCGTTTGTATAGGCCAGTCACGCCCAGGTTTCACTGCTACACCTTCGTTTGACGGTACTTGTACCCAAGTCGAGAGAGTACACTTTTGATTTGGCAAACATTCGGGCAAATTGGATTATTGACGCCTTACATTTCCCTTACTATTGTCGATAGTATTGGCTAGTCAGTGTGCAGCAACCAGGCCAGTGTCTTAATGAGGTTATAAATAACATCTGGCGAGGAGAACCACTTTACCACAGAACACCCTGATTGGCGTTTCGAGTATGCTGAGTATTTGTTAACAAAGACAAAGACTCAATGCACTGGATTGATTGCTATCACGTGACATAAGTAGTTTGCCGATAAATAATAAAAACTTTTAAGAGGTGATTTCAGGTGAAAAGCGACATGTGTGTGGTTTTATATTGCTAGCCTACAGAGATACCTTGCTGCAGTTTAACATGGATATCCCACTCAGACACAGCATACTGACCTGGGCAGACGAGTCCTTGGTTTTAGCCCCTTAATTCCCAGCACCAGGCTAGGTAACAATAAATACTATCTTTTAACCTCTTTTGGTATGACGTGACTCCTGCTCCTCTGGTAGATGCTCTATCCACTGGACCACAGAGGCAGTCATTAAAATGATCTTACCAAAACGGCACTGAACACACAAAACAAGAAATTGTTACACATTTTCACTTTATTATTGCACAATTTAGTGTATTTGTTATTGATAAGGAGCAAGCTTATGTCACCATGGTCCAAAAGGTTGCCCAGTCCTCTAAGGTCCCGCAATTCGCTGTGCAGAGTTGTGTCCCTTGGGCACGCCAAAAACCTATGATTGTGGGTTCGAATCCCAGTTTATCCAAATTATGTTTCTAGGTTTGCCAGCGCCATGCTGTGCTTGTGGGTTTCATCAAATTGGTAAATGACTGACTGACACCTGCATTACTTCCGGATTCCGCTCACATTAAGGTGACATGCCATGATATGACTAAAATACTGTTCAAAGCAGCGTTAAACACAACTCACTCACTCACTCATGGTCTTAGTCAGCAAGCTGAAAGACTGGATCAGACAAACAACCCAACAGCTGCACAAGTATCCATCTACACTGGCCGAATACAAGGCTGCCAGTTGTCTCATCAATAGATTATTGGTTGAAGAAACTACCACTCCTTACACATCTTCCTGAGGCAAGGGAATTAACATACATTAAATGTCCAGTTTCCACCCTTGCCGAAGAGGCTGGAATTATGGAACTATATTTTGGCTGGACTAAGAAGTCTATGCATAGTCCAATCAAAATCGCAAAATGACATCAACTTAGTGTAAACAGATATTTTCCGAATCACTTCATGTTTTTGATCAAGGTGTCACGTGATATGATGCACTTTGCAAATTAAGACCCATTTTATTACAATACAGATCTTGATTATCGATCAGTTCATCTTGACTGGGCGCCGCTATTTTGCTTGAAGCAAATGCAAGTGATATCAGAGGTGGAATCTAATTGGTCAATAGGAGGGACAAAGATGGGACATAACTCATAATAGCCACTGGTGGCGCAATGATCGAGCCCAGAAATTCCAGATATATAGTTTGATTAATATCTCAAAGACTATCTTTGCTAAAGCTGATATTTTCTCTGCTTTCTGCAAACCAGATTATTCAGTTGTCATAGAAGCATATGGCAACATCTTAAAAATGACACCAGAGCATTAGAACATGTTGAAAGAGTGTGCTTGACCACATTGTGAAAACTTTCCCTAATTTCGATGTCAATACACATGTTATTGAGTATTTGACAAGTGGAAATTTCAGCAATGAAAACTATTAGCTGATACTATCAGTTGTAATGGAATTTCTTGGCAGGAAATACTTGATAACACCGAAAAAGCTGAAAACAAAATGTTCACCTCCTTGAGCAAATGTTTACAGAAACCCGATCAACATAGACATGTCAACAACTGTTCAACTCCTTCCATTAAAAAGTTTCTTTCCTACCCATAATCATCATACAGAGGACTTGAGTCCTACTAGCAGCTGAAATAACTGGGCACGACAGATGGTGAATACATGATACATTTAGGCCTTGAATTTATCACTATACTGTGGCAATCAGAACAATTATCCAACATCATACTCCACCCTTGACCATTACTGTTCAATTCCAGGGAACAAGTCCATTTACTGCTACCTGGGGGGGTCAGCAGGGGGGGTAATCTATAGACCAGACTATATCTGGGAAGAAACGCCACCTCGAGGCCGACTCCTGCAGTGACAAGTGATGTACAGTAACTAAGGTTATAACAAACTCAAACTAAAAGGGACCACTAATTTTAGTTCGCAATAACAGTAGTTCATTATAAGCATATATACAGCATATATACAACAAATGGCTGGGACTAAAATATAAGTTCGCTATATCGGTCATTTGGTTATAAGCGTGTTCGCTATAAACGTAGTTTACTGTATTAACTCAGTTGAAGCAACTTGACCACCTTAGTCATGTATTTGAAGTCACAACATCATATCAAATACTTTACAAATACTAACACCATAAAGAATATTTACATCACCAGGACCTTGCATACTGTCACACAGGCTGTGTGAGGAATAAATTAGGAAAAAACTTAAGTCCTTCTACAGTTTCGTCTCGACATATTCCTCCAACCTTCTCTGTAAGTAATAATCTGAAAAAAAATAATGTAAAGTGAAAACACATGATTCAGTACAATGACTGAAAATAGTTGAATACTTTGAATGATGAAAAGAGTGAGTGAGTGAGTGAGTGAGTTGGGTTTAACGCCGCTTTTAACAGTATTCCAGTTATATCACGGCGTGTCTGCTTAATGTGGGAGGAAAGCCCGAAGTGATGCAGGTCCCAGACGTTTACCACTTCGGTGAAACCCACGAGCACGGGTATGGTGCTGACAAACCTAAAAACATAATTGGGGAGAACCGGGATTCGAACCCACAATCATAGGTTTCTGGCGTGCCCAAGGGACGCAACTCTGCACAGCAAATCGCGGCGTCTTAGACGACTGGGCCACCCGTGCCCCTAAATGATGAAAAGAAGCATTTAAGGTCCTCCATATCATTTTCTCATTGCCATGGTCATTTTCAGGAGTAGGTGGGCAGAAGAAGGCAAAAAATACAAAAAAAAGGTACAGGAGTTCACCTTTAGTGATAAGAAACTTGACATCAAGAGTTCAAAACTGGTCATTAAGATTGAAAATTTCCAAATTTCCAAAAGCACCTGTACTCAAACTCTTGGCATCACAATTGTGATATTCAAGGTTACACCCCTACTTCAGATATCGTTTTAATAAAATGCAACTCAGAATATTTTAACGAAACAGGATTATTTTTCAAGCCGAAATTATATATGTTCAAAATAATTCAAGCAGCAAACGGATGAATATAAAAAGATTTGTTTAATTTCTCAGGAGGACTGGCATGATGCCGATGAAGATGAGCTTCATCTTTCACATACCAACTATGAGAACCAGGTAGACACAATTCAAATGTCATGCTCATCACACTGGTTAGCATTGGTCAGCATTCATTGTGTCCACCTGAACCTCACTACTAGTGTATTCGGTGACAAGGGGCAGAGTGCTCGGCACTACTCCATGACAGAATGCCAGGGATTTGTTACCTACAGTTTGGCTACTGAAACATTATTCAAACCCTCACTTTAGAATGTTACTTTTCATTTTTAAATTGAGTCCAGATCTCATTGATTTTCTTAGTTTCTCCCCCAATGTGTGAAGATGCAGGAGACATAATCATGATAACAAATAATTATCAGACAAAACAAATCACAAATTTGGGAAAGTAAGGAATCTCACCTTTCTTTAGCTAATATTACGGAGACTCCCACCACCTTGGCTAGATCCTCTGCCGTCAGGAACCCCTTCTCTTCAACCTGGAGACCGCAATAGCAACCATGACAACAGACTAGGACATCATTAGTTACAGGTTCAAGGTTCAGCTCATGATTGAATCACTTTGGTACATCAACTCATGATCATCTTGTCATCTTATAGCAGCACAAAACTTCTCTATTTTTTAATGTTTCTATAAAAATTTTGATGTTTGAATGGACTTCGCGGAAAGCACACATTTTACATGAAGACCTTGTTAATGATTGGGACATGGGAGTTTCTGATAGTTAGTGAGACATTTCAGCTTGGACAGTGTAAGACGTGTCGTGGGACACTCTCACACATAGTACAACTTACATAATAGTGCCATAACAGGGCATTATTCAGAATTATAGACATATAATGTTGCCATAACAGGGTAATATTATATTGTACAATACCTGAATGTTTGTAAGCATTGTTTGTATTTCATTGTGCAACCTGCACGTGTCAAATGTGTGATGGAACAGTAGTTTGTGCATATTGTACATAGCTTTGGGTGAATAAACGGGCTGAATTTTGATTGATTTTTTTCGTTCGATTATTTGGACATTCCTTATAATCACTCAGATTGGAATGAGTGAGTCAGTGAGTATGGTTTGACGCAGCTTTTAGCAATATTCCAGCAATATTACAGCAGGGGACACCCGAAATGGGCTTCACTCATTGTACCCATGTCGGGAATCGAACCCGGGTCTTCAGCATGATGAGCGAACGCTTTAACCACCAGGCTACCCGACCTCCCCCACTCAGATTGGAAAATTAATTGAGTGTTGCAGGTGTATTTCATGAAAACCATGATATTTAGGTGTGTGCTTGTACATTATTGGAAAATACAGGTACTGCCACATAACAAATATGCTTGGCTTCGACTGGCGATACTGAACCTTTATCCCAGATACATACTGTCACTAGTCCTCTATTGCATAGAGCTATCCTGCTGCCAAGTATACTTATAGCTGTTAAATTGACAGTTGTCAGTCTTCACTTCACTTCACTTCACAGGACGATCGATGTGTATGGCATCCCATTATATTCATAAACAGGATGAATATTACCAGACAGATGTGCTAGAATAATTTAGAGATAACTGTTGTTGTTTACCACCACACTCAGCTACATTTCAGCTCTATGACAGCGACCTGTAAGTAATAGAGTCTGGGCCAGGCCAGTGATTGATATTATGAGCAGCGATCAACGCCATTAGGGTACGATGACACACAAACAATCAAGTCACTGAAACCTTACCACCATTCCAACACTTCTTACAACAAGCTGGGGACCTACGGGGGTAGACTCCACAAGCCCATGAAACATGTCACCATATTGCGTACTAGCGGGCACAAAAACATGAATAATAAAGAAATGTAAATGTAACAAGATGGAGTAAATATGAGTTTGTAAGTCTATTTTCTGCTATCAAGCCTATCAGGTGGTATCAATAGTCTAGCCCTATTGTAGCTAGCAATTGTGCATCCGATTGAGACCACCTATCTAAATGATTGTGTTCTACCTACGTCCTACCTTGATGAGCTATAAAACAAATCTGTTGAATGTACGTCCTATCGCAATGACATATGCCAATCTGTCCTAAACTCAAGTGAGTACGATTTGCCTCGTTTTTCATGTGCTCGGACAGCACGTCCCATGTCATACTTTTGTTTTCTCCATTAAGCATGTTGCATTCTAGCTCCCTGTCCCAGCTGTCTGTTCATGCTTGACATATCTTTAAACCAGAGAGTTTGATTTGACGCCGCTTTGAACAGTACTTCAGTCCCAACACAGCATGTTTGGAGGGAAACCCAAAGTGATGAAGGTTTAATGTTCTCAAGCAATGTTATTTCTGAACAATACTCACCAAAGAACTTGTCTTTGTGATAACCTCCTCTTCATTCTGACTTTTGGACTGCAACACCATGACTCCACTGTCAAACGTCCGCAGCCTGTTGGGAAGACACGAAAAACTGGTGTAAACACTTCTCACAACATAACACTTCTCACAGTTCCCTCATATGGCTGGTCTTTCCGGCTTCAACGGCAATTTGGATATAATCGTTCCAATCAGAATTTCAAATAAGGGCATAAATAACCAGGCTAGCTCTCTGTGGTGTCTGTTCCCAGATCTTTGATACCTCCAAGGTTAATACAGATATGGAACACTTAACTTCAAAGCCTTTTCAAGGCTTTCAACTGTCATTTTCAAAGTTTTTTAGTTGCATTTTTAGCCTTAGATGGTCAATATATTTTTTTAAATCTAGCATACTATATTAGTTGCAAGACGTAACATGCAGTATGAACATCACACATTTTCCAACAAGATTTATTTTCACAACCAACAAATTAATTAAATTAAGCCTGTCATGATAATCCTGAGCGCCAGCAGGGTAACAAGTACCATCTTTTAACGTTATTTGGTAAGACGTGGCTGGGGACCGAACCCCGAAACCTTCTGCTCTCCAGGAAGATCTGCTATCCACTAGACCACAGAGAGGTCAAGGAGGTGGTGGTCAAGGGCAGGAAGAGAAGAGTGAACTGTTCCAGAACTTCCAGTTCACCAGAGTCTAGCTCCCCTGTGAGGACCTACCTGATAGGCAGCTTCAGCAGCTCCATCAGTTCACATGCATGCAGTAGGTCCTCCGGAGACAGCAGCTGAAACACAAACAACACCTTCACTGAAACACACACAACACCTTCACTGAAACACACACAACACCTACACTGGAACACACACAACACCTACACTGGAACACACACAACACCTACACACAACACCTACAGTAGAAAACACACAACACCTTCACTGGAACACACACAACACCTTCACTGAAACACACAACATCTACACTGAAACACACACAACACCTTCACTGAAACACACACAACACCTACACACAACACCTACAGTAGAACACACACAACACCTTCACTGGAACACACACAACACCTTCACTGAAACACACAACACCTACACTGAAACACACACAACACCTTCACTGAAACACACACAACACCTTCACAACACCTACACTGAAACACACACAACACCTTACTGAAACACACACAACACCTACAGTAGAAAACACACAACACCTTCACTGAAACACACACAACACCTTCACTGAAACACACAACACCTAAACTGAAACACACACAACACCTACACTGGAACAAACACAACACCTTCACTGGAACACACACAACACCTTCACTGAAACACACAACACCTACACTGAAACACACACAACACCTTCACTGAAACACACACAACACCTACAGTAGAACACACACAACACCTTCACTGGAACTCACACAACACCTTCACTGAAACACACAACACCTTCACTGAATCACACACAACACCTTACTGAAACACACACAACACCTTCACTGGAACACACACAACACCTTCACTGAAACACACACAACACCTTCACTGGAACACACACAACACCTTCACTGAAACACACAACACCTACACTGAAACACACACAACACCCTCACTGAAACACACACAACACCTTCACTGGAACACACACAACACCTTCACTGAAACACACAACACCTTCACTGAAACACACAACACCTACACTGAAACACACACAACACCTACACTGGAACAAACACAACACCTTCACTGGAACACACACAACACCTTCACTGAAACACACAACACCTTCACTGGAACACACACAACACCTACAGTAGAACACACACAACACCTTCACTGAAACACACACAACACCTACAGTAGAACACACACAACACCTTCACTGAAACACACACAACACCTTCACTGGAACACACACAACACACACACACACAACACCTTCACTGAAACACACACAACACCTACGGTGGAACACACACAACACCTACACACAATACCTTCACTGAAACACACACAACACCTACAGAAGAACACACACAACACCTTCACTGAAACACACACAACACCTACACTGGAACACACACACACACAACACCTTCACTGAAACACACACAACACCTTCACTGGAACACACACAACACACACACACAACACCTTCACTGGAACACACACAACACACACACACACCATATACACACAACACACACACTGAAACACACACAACACCTTCACTTAAACACACAACACCTTCACCCGTAATCCCCTTGGGCAACAAGCAACAAAGTGCTCGGGGCCTTCAAATCAGCATCTAGATAAGAACAACACTAAGCCAAGGTACAGTGGGACCAGCTGATGCCCATTTTAGTTGGTTCTGATGACAAGCATGAGGCACTGGGGACCTAATCTGTCCTCATCCCCACATGGAGACAAGCATGAGGAACTTGGGACCTATTCTGCCCTCAACCCTACAGGGAGACAAGCATGAGGTACTGGGGACCTATTCTGTCCTCTACCCCACAGGGAGACAAGCATGAGGTACTGGGGACCTATTCTGCCCTCAACCCTACAGGGAGACAAGCATGAGGTACTGGGGACCTATTCTGTCCTCTACCCCACAGGGAGACAAGCATGAGGTACTGGAAACCTATTCTGTCCTCTATCCTACAGGGAGATAAGCATGGGGTACTGGGGACCTATTCTGTCCTCTACCCTACAGGGAGACAAGCATGAGGTACTGGGGACCTATTCTGCCCTCAACCCTACAGGGAGACAAGCATGAGGTACTGGAAACCTATTCTGTCCTCTACCCTACAGGGAGATAAGCATGGGGTACTGGGGACCTATTCTGTCCTCTACCCTACAGGGAGACAAGCATGAGGTACTGGAAACCTATTCTGTCCTCTACCCTACAGGGAGATAAGCATGGGGTACTGGGGACCTATTCTGCCCTCTACCTTACAGGGAGACAAGCATGAGGTACTGGGGACCTTTTCTCTCCTCTACCATACAGGGAGACAAGCATGAGGCACTGGGGACCTATTCTCTCCTCCACCATACAGGGAGACAAGCATGAGTCACTGGGGACCTATTCTGCCCTCTACCTTACAGGGAGACAAGCATGGGGTACTGGGGACCTTTTCTGTCCTCTACCCTACAGGGAGACAAGCATGAGGTACTGGGGACCTATTCTCTCCTCTACCATACAGGGAGACAAGCATGAGGTACTAGGGACCTATTCTGCCCTCTACCCTACTGGGAGACAAGCATGGGGTACTGGGGACCTTTTCTGCCCTCAACCCTACAGGGAGATAAGCATGAGGCACTGGGGACCTATTCTGCCCTCTACCCTACTGGGAGACAAGCATGAGGCACTGGGGACCTATTCTCTCCTCTACCATACAGGGAGACAAGCATGAGGCACTGGGGACCTATTCTCTCCTCTACCATACAGGGAGACAAGCATGAGGTACTAGGGACCTATTCTGTCCTCTACCCTACAGGGAGACAAGCATGAGGTACTGGAAACCTATTCTGCCCTCTACCCTACAGGGAGACAAGCATGAGGCACTGGGGACCTATTCTCTCCTCCACCATACAGGGAGACAAGCATGAGTCACTGGGGACCTATTCTGCCCTCAACCCTACAGAGAGACAAGCATGGGGTACTGGGGACCTTTTCTGCCCTCAACCCTACAGGGAGATAAGCATGGGGTACTGTGGACCATATCTGCCCTTTAACCCACAGAAAGACAAGCATGAGGTACTGGGGACTTGTTTTGCCCTGAATCCTGAACCCACCTCCATTCCTCGGGCTCTGTTCACGCGACAGTACACATCAGTCAGGGTCATCATTCCGCCAGCCTCCTGCAAACAGCCATTCAAAAATAGAACAATGATGATCATCCATCACCAGGACTCTTTGCATAAAATCTCATCAGATTCTCAGTTCTATTCTAAATGATAATAAAAGTGTCACGATGCACATTCATGATTTACAAATATAATGCATTTTCAAAAGAGATTAAATGAATCACTAGTCACTGGTACTTTCATTAACTGCAATGCAGTTGCTTACATCATTTTCAACTTTTCATTCATGATCTAGAGGCAAAAGAGACATTATTCATGTTCAAAATGAAATTTCTTGCAGGAGATGGATGGAGCTCTCCATTCATTAGGGCCTGCTTATTGCTTGATGCTAGATATTCAACTGTTTTCAACAATTCTGTAGTCTCTACAGATGAAAAATGAATAACAGGCTAAAAGATGTAAACAAAGAAATCAAAAAGCATAAGGTCTCTCTAGTTATTAAGACATCCAATGATAACAAGTTCACAATCAGACATCTGTCAGAGCCCATTAAGGGAGACAACTGCACTAATATACATCAAGTGACGTCATCCTCTTGTACTCCAGTCGTGTTAAATCAGTTGGGTTAAATAGGGATGTTATAATATCTTGGGGATTTTATATAATATCTCTGTGATTTTATTAATACAACTTCCGTTTATATTGTAACATATGAATGTTTCTCGCTACAAGTGTAATTTGTATTTGAACACAATATAATGAAATGTAAAATCAAATGACAAATCTTTTCTTTCTATTCCTGCGGATCAAACATGCAACCTTTGTATCTGCAGCCCAGTGAGTGTATCACTCGGATGCAGATGTGCTGATTAATTACAATGCTTTTAAAAATGTCTCTTTCAAGTACCCTTATGCCAACAACAGATATTTCACTCACGTTTCCAAAGGTTCATGGAAAGTATATTTGAAACATAAAAATGTTGATGAATGTTGTTTTTAAATTTCTTTTTTCGGTTTATTAGTAAGATAAAACACTTACCTTGGGTTTTTATGAGATTTACAACCCTCATCCTAGGGATAAGACCTCAGGACTCATGCCCCTTGATTTTATCTCTTGGATTCGGGTCTTAAATCTCATAAAAACCCTCTGATGTGTTTTATCTCTCACATGGACACTCAAGTTTATACAGTGAACCACAGCTACAACACGGGATGAATGACATTTCTACCTTGTGTTCAAATGATCATATCAGGTTTCATTGTGTTTCAGTTCTTTCCACTAAAATCTGTTCCAGTAACACCATTAACTCCATCCCCACATCACACAGAATGACAACTATTAAAGTGTAAACCAGAGCAAGTCAGTGGGATGCTAGGTTACCTCCACGGGTTTCTCCAGTACCGAGACTAGTTGTTTAGCCAGCTCCACGTAGTACTTGTCCCCCGTCCCATGTGTTTCCCTCGTCACTGGGTTGGGGATGCCCATGCTTAGCAGGTAGGACTTGAACTTCACCGTCTGAAATACGCAATAATGTTGAAAATTCAATATTCCCTTCCTGACCTGTTATCTTGATTTACAACATGGGGCCCCCAATAATTAATGTTAATTCTCCTTGCAGACAATATGAGGGTCCTGTAAAGTAATGAAATGGTGTTCTGTACTGTAATTCTAGATAATTACTTTAGAGCCTTAAATCAGTGATCATGTGGACAGCGGTCGTGATTGATGAATGAAATAACAGACACCCATAACTGCTCTTGATCGATGTAGGGACAATGAATATTATTGTGAGTCCCTCAAGACTCAGTATATATTTTTTCTGCGTCCATTCAAGGGTCATAACCGGGTAAAATCTGTGACTGGAACTCATGGCAAATCCTGGCATCACAAAGGGATGTTACTATGTAAGTGCATTAAGCTGATTCAAAGATAGGCCTACACTGAAATCACATCATGGTTATTCCTTTCAGAAAATGCAAAAGCTTAAATATGTGTTTCCTCCAATTAAAGAAGTCCTCAAAATAATAGAACTTACTTCATCTTCAGTTATGTTCCCTTGTTTGTCCTTGATCTTTGTGGCTATTGTTCTTGACAAGTTCACCATCTCTTTTGCCTGGAAAAATATAGCATCCATGTAAAGGGGGATAGCACATCAATGTAAAAGCATGTTTATAAACACTATTTACATACTGCCTTCAAACATGACAGCATTGATATTTTAGACTGTTTTGAAACTACAAGGTTCATGGATTATTTTTTCTAAACACATGGTTGGTTGTCGAAATGAAATACAGTAAACTACGTTTATAACGAACGCATTTATAACGAACTGACCGATATAACGAACTTATTTTTAGTTCCGACCATTTGTTGTATATAAGCTGTATATATGCTCATAACAAACTAAAAATATTACAAACTGAAATTAGTGGTCCCTTTGAATTTGTGATAACCCAAGTTTACTGTAAATATAAAACTGCAAAAAATATATATATTTTTTTACAGTAGAATCGGTAGGGTGTATCTTCCCGAGGGAAGGGAGTTAACCAACTGTAAAAGTCCAGTTTCTACCCTTGCTGAACTAGGCTGGAATTTCTGGGCTCAATCGTAGCGCGACCAGTCATGTCCCTTCTATGTCCCTCCTATTGACCAATCAGATATTCCACCTCCCACATAACTTGCATTTGTTTAAAATAAAATGGTATCAGCCAAGAGGATCTGACTGATTATAAAGATTTATGTTGTAAATAAAAACTATCTTTCGTGAAGTGCATCAAATCAGGTGAGCACCTTGATGACAAACATGAAAAAAAAAAGGAAAATATCCGTTGATGCTAAGTTGACTGTACACATACTTTGCAAATCCTGCAATCGACCGAAATCTGCATAGCAGTTTACAAACCATCTTCCCGAAGCAAGAGAGTTAACTGCCGAACTAGGCTGGAATTCCTGGGCTCAATCGTAGCGCCACCAGTGGCTATTGGTTATGTCCCTTCTATGCCTCGCCTATTGACCAATCAGATTCCACCTCTCGTATCACTTGCATTTGCTTCAAACAAAACCACGGCGCCCAGTCAAGATGATCTGATCAATAATCAAGATCTATATTGTGATAAAACTAGTCTTACATCGCGAAGTGCATCAAATCATGTGAGCACCTTGATTAAAAACATGAGAGATTTAGAAAATGTCTGTTGACAACAAGTTTGCGGTACACATGTTTTGCAAATCCTGCAGTTGACCAAAATTTGCATGACACTTTACGAACCAGATTTTGATTTCGGTGCGCGATTTTGATTGGACTATGCATAGACTCATTAGTCCAGCCAAAATGTAACTCCAAAATACCAGCCAAGTCCAAGGGTGGAAACTGGACTTTTATAGTCAGATAACTCACTTGCCCCGGGAAGATGTTTACAAACCGGATGTTGATTTCGTTACGTGATATTGATTGCACTGTATGGACTCATTAGTCCAGCCAACATATAACTCCCTAATCCAGCCTAGTTCCCTTGACTTGGGAAGATGGGTAAGGTGTAAGACACTGCCCTTCAATGGTGACTTACATTGACTTACTCGTAGTGCACACATTGACAGTACATTATGAATAAGTTATGAAACACCACTTCGATCCAGCGAACACAAGAATGAGGAACTGACCCAGGCAAAGAGAATGTCCCACCCATCACAACCAAATCCCTGACATTACCAAACCACACCTTAAATGATGACTCACTGAGCTATGACGATGTCTTCACGGTATTTTGAGTCTAGTCTGTGACAAAATAACATGAGAACATGGTGAATACAAACCTTCTCAATGAGTTTACTGAGATCCTCAAATGCCACTGAAATGTTCTTGTTTGTTTCATGGTGTTTCTTCTGTATGGATCTCTCTATTCCAACGATGCCAGGACGATGACGAGGCAGCTGAAACAACATGGCAGTCATTGTAGAACCTGTGTTTGTGTTTGCTTGTGCTTGCTTGTGCTTGCTTGTGCTTGCTTGTGCTTGCTTGTGCGTGCTTGTGCGTGGATGTGCGTGCACATATGTGTGTGATTGATTTTGTGAACAACATTCCATGAGCAAGCGAGCGAGCGAGTGGGTGGGTGGGTTTGGGTGAGTGAGTGAGTGAGTGGGTGGGTGGGTGGGTTTGGGTGGGTGAGTAAGGGAGTGAGTGAGTGAGTGAGTGAGTGAGTGAGTTGGGTTTAACACTTTTAACAGTATTTCAGTTATATCACGACCTGTCAGCTTAATGTGGGAGGAAAGCCTGAAGAGATGCAGGTCTCAGACGACCACCACGGTGAAACCCACAAGCACGTGTATGGTGCTGACAAACCTAGAAACATAATCGGGGCGAACCGGGATTCGAACCAACAATCATAGGTTTCTGGCATGCCCAAGGGACGCACCTCTGCACAGCGGCACCTTAGATGACTGGGTCACCTGTGCCCCCCCATATGGGTGTAGAAACTCATAACAATGCTGTCAAACAGTTGTAACATGGTGAGTGAGTGAGTGAGTTTGATTTTACGCCGCTTTTAGCAATATTCCAGCAATATCACGGCGAGGGACACCAGAAATGGGCTTCACACATTGTACCCATGTCAGGTATCGAACCCGGGTCTTCAGCGTGACGAGCGAACCCTTGAACCACTAGGCTACCCGACCGCCCTGTTGTAACATGGTAGTCAGGAACATCAACAGAAATGTGGCAAACTACGACAATCAAACATAGGGCCATAACCAATGTCTTTGTTTCGAAATCCATCCAATGGAAACCAGAATCAAATGTTTGTGTGTTGTTTAACGTTACACACACAAATATTCAAGCTATAAGATTATAGTCTGTAAATAATTGAGTATGGATCAGACAATCCAGTGATTGACATCATGAGCATCGATCTACACATCGAGAGGACAGGTGAGGTGAAATGGGGTTTAACGTCGCGTCCAAGATCAAGAGGACAGACATGCTTACTAGGTTGATGCATGTCATCATATCCCAATTGCATAGGTCGATGCACAGGATTTACAGTCACTGGATTTTCTGGTTCAGACTTGATTATTTACAGATGTTCTTTATAAAGCTGGACAGTGTTAAACAACAAACAAACAAAGCTATATTTAGTGTACAGCGTCTTGTAGCTTACTTATACCAGTACAACTATAATCTCACCGATGGAAGGGCTACATTTAGTGTACAGCGTCTTGTAGCTTACTTATACCAGTACAACTATAATCTCACCGATGGAAGGGCTATATTTAGTGTACAGCGTCTTGTAGCTTACTTATACCAGTACAACTATAATCTCAACGATGGAAGGGCTATATTTAGTGTACAGCGTCTTGTAGCTTACTTATACCAATACAACTATAATCTCACCGATGGAAGGGCTATATTTAGTGTACAGCGTCTTGTAGCTTACTTAACCAGTACAACTATAATCTCAGCGATGGAAGGGCTATATATAGTGTACAGCGTCTTGTAGCTTACTTATACCAGTACAACTATAATCTCACCGATGGAAGGGCTACATTTAGTGTACAGCGTCTTGTAGCTTACTTATACCAGTACAACTATAATCTCACCGATGGAAGGGCTATATTTAGTGTACAGCGTCTTGTAGCTTACTTATACCAATACGACTATAATCTCACCGATGGAAGGGCTACATTTAGTGTACAGCGTTTTGTAGCTTACTTATACCAGTACAACTATAATCTCACCGATGGAAGGGCTACATTTAGTGTACAGCGTCTTGTAGCTTACTTATACCAGTACAACTATAATCTCACCGATGGAAGGGCTACATTTAGTGTACAGCGTCTTGTAGCTTACTTATACCAGTACAACTATAATCTCATCGATGGAAGGGCTACATTTAGTGTACAGCGTCTTGTAGCTTACTTATACCAGTACAACTATAATCTCACCGATGGAAGGGCTACATTTAGTGTACAGTGTCTTGTAGCTTACTTATACCAGTACAACTATAATCTCACCGATGGAAGGGCTATATTTAGTGTACAGCGTCTTGTAGCCTACTTATACCAGTACAACTATAATCTCACCGATGGAAGGGCTATATTTATTGTACAGCGTCTTGTAGCTTACTTATACCAGTACAACTATAATCTCACCGATGGAAGGGCTATATTTAGTGTACAGTGTCTTGTAGCTTACTTATACCAGTACAACTATAATCTCACCGATGGAAGGGCTACATTTAGTGTACAGCGTCTTGTAGCTTACTTATACCAGTACAACTATAATCTCACCGATGGAAGGGCTGCTGCTGCTGGTTGAACCTTCTGTTCCCATCTCTTCTGTTCTAACTCAACTTGGAAACGTCGGAAGAACTAGAAAAATAATCCACAAATATATATTAAGTATCTCAGTCCATACAGGGTTCACACACTATTAGCCTGCCAACTTTCCATGACCTTCCCAGACTTACCAGGGCATCATGTCAAGCAGTTAAAGTTAAGTTTGTGAAGATCACATATGATATTATTCAAATGAAGTGCAACCATTACATATATTTTTCTGAAATTCCAAGTCTACAGTCTTGGTGTTGTCGTTTGCTGATTAGGCCACACATTTTTCACATGCCTGCCGCCCATACTGAAAATCAGGTTCCAGGTAAACATGGTAAATGCCACCACTGATATAGCATTAGGATAAACAACAATGTGTCTCGTGCAACATGGTGCAAGGCAGAGATACTTGGTTCTCCATTGACGAACCTGTGCAAGTTATGTATTCTACATCCATAATGTGATACAGTAATATTTGTGAAGTGTACAGACAGTGGTTTATCTAGGCCTGGTTTGAGACCGATATTTGGTCCCAAATCTGCAGCAAATGTCAGCAAAAATTCCCAAACAGTAATTAAACATTTCCCCAATTCATGCTGTTATAGTTATAACCAATGTCACTGACAACAGGACAACATAGAGGAAGATCCTTTAATGCCTAATTTCACATTATTGCATCGAATGCCAATGTCAAACTTCATAAAATACCTCTGAATTTACGAAAATAATAACTTTACAAACATTCATTATTTTGAACAAAATAATTACTTTTTAGAGGTTTACTTTTTACAGTTAGATTAGAATCGTATATAAACCCGTTGAAATTCGGGTTAGAATAGGTCTTCAGTGACTCATGTTTGCCGTTTGAGGCACCATCCTTGTCGTAAGAGGCAGCTAACGGGATCGGGTGGTCAGGCTTGCTGACGTATCCCAATTGTGTGGATCAATGCTCATGATATCAATCACTAGATTGTGTGTTCAAGACTCGATTATTTACAGATCGCCGTCATATAGCTGGAATGTTTCTGAGTGCGGCATTAAACTACAAACACCGCCTTCATATAGCTAGAATATTGCTGAGTACAGCGTTAAACAACAAACGCCGCCGTCATATGGCTGGAATATTGCTGAGTGCGGCATTAAACAAGAAACAAAGCCTGACAGACAGACTGCAGGTGGACACTGACCTCCTTCTGGCCAGCCTCCCTGAAGGACAACCTGATGAAGCTGTGGGGACTGTGGGAGGTGGGTCCTGAAGGCTTGTTGGGCGGGGTCTGGCTCAGATGGACAATGATCTTCGCACTGAAACAGTTAGGGACACTCATGGATACACACATGGACATCAGGGGAAATATTATTGGATGCATTCATGAGCAGGGAAAACAACTTTCTCAGCACTTGTTCCAATATGTTACCACACAAACAGACAAACTGTCAACAGGTTAGCCCAATAAAATCAAGTCCAGTTCAGGATCAGTCAAGTGTCATAAAGCAAGATATTAACAGATTGATAACAGCAATTGTTACATAAATTCATCCATACCACAATAAATGATAATGTGTCATTGTGTAAGTACACATTATTTATGATACAAACCCATCTTCCCAAGTCAAGGAAGTTAACTGATTCTCAAGAGTCCAGTTTCCACCCTTGCCGAACAAGGCTGGAATCATGGAGTTATACTTTAGCTGGACTAACCAGTCTGTGCATAGTTCAATCAAAATCACGTAACGAATTCAACATGTCATGCAGATTTCAGTCGACTGTTGGATTAGCAAAGCATGTGTACCCATGTACCGTCAGTTTAGCACAAACAGATATTTTCAAAAAAGAATTTATGTTTTTAATCAAGGTGCTCACGAGATTTGATGCACTTGGCGAAGTAAGACCCATTTTATTACAATATGGATCATGATTATCGATCAGATCGTCTTTACTGAGTGAAACCATTTTGTTTGAAGCAAATGCATGTGATGTGTGTGGTGGAATCTGATTGGTGAATTGGAGGGACACAGAATGGATAGCTTGTAATAGTCACTGTCGCGCTACGATCGAACCCAGCAATTCCAGCCTAGTTCGACAAGAGTGGAAACTGGACTTTTACAGTCAGTTAAGGGAAGACGATACAATCCTTTTGATAGCATTAAGAACCAAAACTGGTTATTAACGATAACTGTGAACGTACCTTTTAGCAAAGCCTGATGCCTGCTCCTCCAGATACACCACTAGAGCCAGAGGCAATACAACCACACAGTTCTACAACAGAATCAATGAGTCATATATCTACCTTAGGCCTACATCTGACACCTTTGATGGTACATTAAGCCTTGCATGCCTATTAGATTAATTCATCAAACCAGACTGAATCAATATAAGTGACAAACCTACTGTGTTTAGATTCGATAACTAAGCTACCGTATTCGACGTTATAAGCCCCCCGCTATAATAAGCGCCCACCACAACATTTGCTAAGATATTGACTACTGAACAATCCCAATTACCACCCCTTCCGATTGATCAATGTACACAAGACTTATTTATTTGCGTATAATACGCACTCGTGTGTAATATGCACCTTTAATTATGGGCATTTAATTCTGGAAAAATATATCTGTCGTACATAAACATTTCAGGCTGTCAGCAGAAACCACGAAATTTATCTTTCAACTCTGTTTTTTTTCACCAACATAACATTCTAATAAGAGCCCCCTATTTCTAATTTTGAGAGCGCCCTGGGCGCTTATTGTGTCGAATACGGTATTTTAGGCTGTCGAGAGATAGATGTTTTCATACATGAAACTTTTGTGTGAAAAGGCATGTTGATTTTGAGGTGTCAGATAGAATTAGATACATCATTTAGACCAAACAGAATCAAACATTCTTCATTGTTATTGTAAAATTCTTATCCCTATCATTTTCCCTGAAAACTATTTAATTAAATTAAATTACATGAAGAATTTGTAACACGCATTTTCCAATTAACAACTGCTCAAATGCACTTAGACCATGATGATCCAATCAAAGGCATTCTTGAAGAGACAGGTTTTGAGGGACTTTTTAAAGTTTGTCAGTTTTTCTGTTTTTCAGATTTCTTGTGGTAGATTGTTCCATAGCACTGGGCCAGCATGTTGAAATGATCTATCGCCATATATTTGGGTACATGACTTTGGCACAACTTAATTGTCATTTAAACTGACAATAGGGCAAAACTTGTTTATGTGACCAAATGGCACTACCTTTGGCAAGTTGAGTGAATTGACTTATAATACAGTGATGTGAAATAACCTGAACTTCGATAGCCAGCAGGATACGTTTATATCAGCAAACTGATATGGGACTACTGCAATTTGCCTCCCTGCATTTAGGGTGCTTATAACACAACAAGCTTGCGGGTCCTTAACAAACAGAGCTCCAGATAAGCTGCGTATCTGCGTAAAATACGCATCAGAAATGCAGAAATATGCAGTAAAATAAAATCCAAGCGTATCAAATGCGCAACGAACATTACAGATACACTACAAAAATAAAACTTGTGCGTATCATCAAAATATTGTGAAGTAGCCCTGCGTATTTCGATTAGCAAATCAGCAACATATTTTGAAATTATAAACGGGCATTCCGTCAACCTTGCCAAACTCCACGATGACAGTTACATCATGATCATTTGCCATCACACTTTCTTGTGGAAGTATCGTGGTATTTTTGAGTCCTATAAAGCTCTCGAACCCACACGACACCAGTTTGCAGGGACTAGATGAATAGTGTTTTTAAATATTTAACTTAAATACCCACATGTGTAAAAACTAGTGGGTAACAGAAATTTGAATACCCAGATAGAATTACTGATACCCAATGATTTTAAAATGCATGGGTAAAATACCCACAACACCAAAAGCTTATCTGGAGCTCTGACAAATACATAGTGCTTACCTCATTACCTACCTATATTTAAAAAATGTTTTTCCACAATTTGCCTGCCAGGGCATTTAATTATCTAACATAAATACTGACTACTCACCCTATTCCTGTGGTCCCTCCACAGAAGTCTATGGGTTGTCAGCGAGAGCACACCATATTCAAAAGATGTCTGAAACGTGAAATGATACGCTGTACCTCAGATATCCATGAGTGAGAGTGGGGTGGGAAAACTCTGGGTCTACCTACTTCTCCAGCAGAGTTGCGTCCCTTGGGCATGCCAAAAAACTATGATTGTAGGTTTGAATCCCAGTTCACCCTAGTATGTTTCTGGATTTGTCAGCACCATATCCATCCTTGTCGGTTTCATCAAACTGGTGAGCGTCTCAGTAATAGAAACTACATTCAACTGTTTTTGTCTACTTGTCCTTATAATGATAACATATCGCAAAACCCTTAAAAATGGCAAATTTCTTCTAGTCCTTAGGATACCTTAACTATTGAGCAGTTTGGCAAGGACTATAGGACTAGTGCCAATTTCTAACGCTGCGTCTAAGACCCAGATCACTTTAGGTTTTCCTCACATATCAAGCCCTTTGCAGTGATATAGGTGAGGTGAAATTGGGTTATCCTCGCGTCCAAGATTATTGCACTTATATAGCGACTTGCATGCACGTGTGTGTGTGGCTGCTTGTACTAGTCCGGACTGATGCCGATTTATAGTGCTAGCACACTGAGATACCATGTCACAGTTTCACATGAATACCTCACTCAGACACAGTTTACTGACTCCAAACCGACCAGTCCTTGTTTTAGCCCCTTAATGCTGAGCGCAAGACAACAAGTTTTAACGTATTTTAGTATGATGCGGCCGGGGATCGGACCCCGGACCTTCTGCCCCCCGGCGGATGCTCTACCTCTAGACCATGTGCACGGAGGTGGTCTATGCCGTGATATAACTGGAATACTGTTCACAGTGGCCCTAAACCCCACTCACTCACTACAACTATATCATGGCCGACAAGACACACCAGCACAGAATGAACAAAGTTCCATGCCGTCGGGGCACGAAGTCACACAATCAACCAGGCCTGACCACCCAATCCACTGAACCAGCACAGATTGCTGTTGACATATTCTAACCAGGATTCCGAAAGGGGATGCTTTCAGAAATGTTGTCTCTGTAACTGTATACTACACGAAAGAAGTTAAAGAACACCAGATTCTTTCATATTCTTTTCACACCATGACCGATGAACTATAGTAATATGAAAGAAACGTGTGTTCCTTAACTTATTTTGAGTTGTATATTTAACGTTACTGAGTTAACTCTTAAAATGTTTTGTTGCTGATATAGACAGAACATGGGTAGTTGGATCACAATGTTAATGAAAAGGAAAGAATATGTTCATCCTGTTACCATGGTTACAGAGATTTTGAGGCTGAATTCCATTTTAAAATATTAAATATTTAAATATTAAAATGTCCTCTTTATGCAAAAGTTGAGAAAAATGTATATTTAGCCATACAACTGAATAACCCATCATTTTTTCAACATGTCCAGCTTTTAAGTGTCAAAATTGTTAAAGAGCTTTGTAACCATGATATCTTTTCAGAGCATCTAATAAAATATAAGACAAGAATTATTGAAAATTCAATTAAAGTACTTTCTCCTTTTGAATATTGTACCTAAACAACTAACATGCCTGAATGCACAATTTCACTTTAATGTATACCACCGAATAGCTGTAAAGCTAAACGCGAATAAAGAATTGAGAATTGAATTGAAACATTATTTCCCTCTATAACCATGATAACATGTATACTCCCTAAGAGGCGACTAAAGGGATCGGGTGGTCCAACTCGCCGACTTGGTTGATGCATTTCAACATATCCCAACTGCGTGGATCAATGCTCATGATGTCAACCACTGGATTGTCTGGTCCAGACTTGATTATTTACAGACTGCCATCATATAGCTGGAATATTGCTGAGTGCGGCATTAAACAAGCAAACAAACAAACAAAACAAAACGTAATAGAAAACATAACAATACTTCATAAATAACATTTTTATTCAACATAAATCCACTTACCCCATGTTTTCAGAAAACGTACATCAGGTTTTCATACAAAAAATACATGTACAACGAGTTACGTTAGAAATTGTTTCATCAGCCAGCAATCCTAAATCTATGTCGGACCTGCATTTAGTCAATGACCACATCACCGAGAAAGAAAATACATGTTGCACATGTCGCACATCCATCCAGGCGGTCATTTCAAGTATTGATTTTACAAAACAAATTTTGCAGTTCATATTTCCAGCAAACGCTCGAACATATATTGTTCAGAAAACAACAAAAATAACTGAACCAGTGTTTAAAACACATCTGTGACGTCATTCTATTGTTTTAACGCTCCATTATTTTTCAGGAAAGGAGAGTTGTTTGTCAACTACACATTATCTTGAACCAACATGTGAATTAATTTGTACTTGGAATGGATGGAACTAGTTTTTACATTGATTGACAATAAAAAATAATTTCATTTTTTTCCGAAAACATGTGTCGCCAGCAGGGTTTGAACCCACATCGTTAGATATGAGAACATGTAATTGTCAACCTCAGCATGGTGTGAAATGAACTATGAAATATTTCATAATTTTGCATAATGCTTAAAAGCTCGAAATAATATGGATATATTTTGTGTTAGAACAGGTTACCTACAACAATGTTCATATTTATAGCAATCAGATAAACGAGAAAAAACAAACCAGGTTATATATATATCCTTGTTCAGGGCTCTATATTTCCTATTATTCCCGTCAGCATGTAATTTATTTTTGTATTTTTTATTTTCCCCCATTTATTCATCTCAGCAGGTACATCATTTATATATATATATCATGTCAATACAATTGTGGTACATGGTTTTCAAAAAATGTACATCTTTCCATACAATAAATTCTTGCCTGTAAAGTCCACGTACTGTATCATTGTTCAGTTTTTAAACAAAGTGTGGAAGGAAGACCAAAAACTCAAAAAAGTTTGCATAGTTATAATTTGTGAATGACATTACCTTTGTAGCATTGTAATAACCTTTTATCTCTTGCTGTATGTGTTCAAAATGTGGCCTTAATCCTTTCCTACATTGTCTGCATATTACTTGTTTTGTTTTTAAAAGTACAATATTCAATGGGTTGTTGTGGTTGCCTTGAAATCCAAAAAAACATTTTCTCTGTTTAAATCAATGGTTCCTTCCACAACAGATTTTAACCAGATATACAGTCTCTCCCAAATCGTTCTTTCATGTTCACAATCATACAACATATGGATTATAGTTTCAGGTTGATTTGTACAGAAAGTACACATAGGAGAATCAACATATCCAATTTTATATAAATATTTGTTAGTTGTAAGAATGTAGTGAATAATCTTAAACTGAAACCATCTAATATCCTCACTTTGAGTGCACCTTTTTGCCATCAATATATGTTCTTGCCAATTTGTTTCACTAAATGTCTTATTTAGTATGCTTTCCCATTTTTCAATGCCATGGAATTTAACAAACTCCTGTCCTGATAAAGTCTTGTAAAATTCTTTACTACCCATATTTTGGTTTAGAAGATGTGATATGTTGAGTGGCATGGTTGGTCGAGGAGATATAGAATTGAAAATATTGTATTCCTTAGCCTTACAAAATCGTTTGACTGCATTTTCAACTCCATACTCCTTTTGGATTCCAAACATATGCACAAAAGCATCAAATACATAAAATTTACCTTTGCCATACCGTCAGCATGTATTGACAATGTGCAAACGATTGATAAATACTAGTTTAGGACCCAACGAAATTATGAAGAGCCGTGTACCATGCATTGTAAATGTCAGCTCATGACGGAGCTTGGTGCACGTGCAACAGCGACAGAGAACGCGATCCTCGTGCAACGCAAGGGCGACTCACGCAGTATAAATACAGACTACAAAGAGTTCTGGTTTTTTTTCAAATATTCTCCACAACAGAATATTTTGGGATAGGGTGTAGGGATAGTTTTAAGTTGGGGAACATCCTCGTAACGAAAATTACAAATTTTCCAATTCATAAGAACTAATTTATGGTTCTGTAGAGACAGCTGTATTTCACTGATAACAGAACCAATAAATAGGAAGAGGTCTTAATCATGTTAATGCTTAGTTTCATATTATTGCATTGAACACAATTTCAAAATACAATGTTAAAATACCTCTGAATTTAAGAGAAAAAAACATAATGTTTTTAAATATCCCAAAACTAAACTAACAAAAATTCCCAGTTTTTATTATCCTTGACAGATCCCTGATCATTTTTAACCAGTCACATGGCTTTAATTTGTCAATTACCTCAATATAGTGATGTGTAGTTTAGAAATGAAATCATTGCTGCATTTTCTCTCTATTCATGTGCTCTCCTGCCTGCATATTTCTCTGTGCCTGAATCTATTCATGTGCTCTCCTGCCTGCATATTTCTCTGTGCCTGAATCTATTCATGTGCTCTCCTACCTGCATATTTCTCTGTGCCTGAATCTATTCATGTGCTCTCCTGCCTGCATATTTCTCTGTGCCTGAATCTATTCATGTGCTCTCCTACCTGCATATTTCTCTGTGCCTGAATCTATTCATGTGCTCTCCTGCCTGCATATTTCTCTGTGCCAATGCTTGTCATGTGTCAAACATGTCAACAACAAAAAAGAAGAAAACCTTCTACAAATTGTTAATCAGTTCTTAAGTTTGGAACCATTTTATCCTTGGTATTTAATTGGAGATTTAACAACAAACTTAGGACCTTATGTCAAATACCATATCACTAAGGAAATATACTGATATTTAATTGTCTTTGAAGAGAATCTGCCATTTCTTTCTCAATGGAAACCAGAAGAATGAGAACTGCAAGCTTTTCACACACCAAATTATTTTCTACTCATGGGTGACCTGTGGTTTCCCTTATTTTCATGCCAAACACATCTTCCCGAGGCAAGGGTGTTAACTGAATATAAAAGACCAGTTTCCACCCTTGCCGAACTAGCCTGGTATTATGGAGTTACATTTCGGATGGACTAACGAGTCTATGCATTGTCCAATCAAAATCATGCAACGAAATCGAAATCCGGTTTGTGAACTGTCATGCAGATTT